CATTATAGTAGGGGAGCCCACGATGCTAAATTGGGATTTACTTGAGCGTCCTTGGGACCTACTGGATTTTGAAGATATGCTGATAGAAAGAAGAAATGGTTTAGTGACAATTTCTTCCACCAGTGGGGGAAGGGGGAATCTACAGATCTTTGAAATTGTTAAGCGTAACTTTTGTTCTAATGGTCGAGCGTGTCAGATATTGATAATGTACATGCTCCATGTGTATTTAATAATAAAAAACTCTTAATCTGCCAGTTTGCATGGTGGGGTTGAATGTTCTGGAGAGTACAAACGGGAACCCTTCAAAATCCCCCCACTCTTGCAAATCAAGTTGGAATGGGCAGATTTTTTAAACGCACTTCCTTTAGCACGGTATTGACCTACCTTCCCTTAATCTGACGAAACTGAGTTTATTTACTCAGACTTTTTTTTTAATTTTCAGTCCCCCCCTTCTAATCAGATCGTATATATGTTTGGTATATTCAACATGACACTAGGTTTTCCCCATATGTTAATCTGATGCGCTCGAGTAACTACCGAAATCCCTTCATGGGCTCCCCTACTACTATACTTACGCTAGTATTGTGTAACGATTCTAAAATATTAATTAATGTCGTTTTCTATCCTCTACAGGACTGGTTCGGTCGTACGACAATATCGTCGAACATCCCAATAGAGACGCTCCTGTCCCGCCTCAGTCAGTTGCAGGCCAGCAAGCAACTACTCGCCACATGCGTCAACAAAGTCGCCAACAGTGACGACAGACTGCGACTCGCGCATATGTATAAGGTAATATTGTTTTACTACTTCCACATGAACGATAACACCATCACTGCTGGATGAAACGCCTTGTACGGTCAAAGGTCAAAAGTCCACTGCCACCGTAAGACTACTATCGGTTGCGCTGCAGCGCTTATACCCACATGCACACGTGTCATATTTTAATCCGCGTGCGTACGCGTGCGTGTGTGTGTGCGTACGCGTGCGTGTGTTTATGCGTACGTACGCGTTTTTATGCACATTAATATGAAATTACGTTTTTATGCACATTAGTGTGAACATCACTCACGTTGGCAGTGGAGTTTTGACTGTACATAAAGATTGCCATAATCCCCGACTTGAAGATTGCAGTTAAACAGGTTTAACTTTATCTCTGTGTCAAATGTGTAGTCAAACCCATCTCTTATTTTTTCCTTTTTTAATTTTAGGGAGTTTTATACCACACAGCGTATGTCAGTTTCATCGTGGCATAATAATGTACTATATATATCAACTAGAGATCAATGAATCAGAGCCATAACGTTGAATAATATTCTCGCACTAGCAGTACTCATGGAATGTACCTATATCGTTCTTGTTCCACTTCAAGTCCCCGGCAAACCTATACCAGTCTCATATCGAGCACATTCCATTAACAAGTGTTGCATGTCCTCGACGCTCCACACACCTCGCAGTCGTTGCATGGATTGTGTCCAGATCTGAGTCTGTGAGCTGTTACTACTAATCTTGGTGAAACAAATCAAATGTTTTCATGTTTATCTTTATATATATATATACAATTCTGCTGTACGTGCATATGTCATTGAACTCCTCCTAAACGGCTTGACCGATTTAAATGAATTTTTCTGTACGCGTTTGAGTGGTGCCCTGGATGGTTTAGATTCACAAATCAGCCCGGCAGATGACGCTGCAGTCGGTGTCTAGGTTAGTTATCCTAAACACAATACACAGTATCCTTTTACGTATATTTATTCTATTCTACGTATTTCACAGATCTATGCAGTTGTAATAGAGACCCTAGCGAAGCAGAAAGATAGAACAGCGCTCACCAACTACAAGATGACCTTGAACCCCCAGTCAGAAGAATATATACTCGCTGAGAATACTCTTAGAGATAATGTAAGTAATATACTGAACTAGCTACTTCCACGCGGTTTCACACGCTCTGCTCAGCTCCTATTGGTCGTAGCGTGATGTTTTATAGCCTATAGCCATCCTCGATAAATGCGCTATCCAACACAAAAAGAATTATTCAAATCAGACTTGTGGTTACGGAGATTAGCGCGTTCAAACAAACAAACAAAAAAAACTCTTCCGCTTTATATAATAGTAAGTATAAGATTAATATTGAATAAGTAATAGCAGTAAAAGTATTGAGTTTAAAGGTCAATTTCACCATGACTTTGGATTCCACTGTCAGAGGAATAAAATAACAAAACATCACGCCGTTTACCCCTAAAGGGGTTGACAGAGGTGCACATTACGACACTTAATGTCACTATACAATGTAACCTAATTTTCACTACATATTCATGTTATGAGTCCCATGTAGATTCCTTCTAGATCCCAATAGAGGGTGATTTCCATATACCGGGCACATTTCCAGACTCCGTGTTACGACTGAGATTTTTTTGTAGAGAGTATACTAATACTAAGATAATAATGCTGAGAATACTCTCAGATATTATGCATCTGTAGGTTACCGAAAGCCTAATTCACACCCCATGCCCAATAAATTGGCCGGTACCGGCAACGCACTAGTAATTCCTTTGGAGTTATGGGTATATACGTGGGTACGCTATTTTGTAATCATACTGGAAGAAGTGGAACCATTGCAAATTGCAAACAAAATGTTTTTGTATTAATATATATTATTATTATACCGTTTTTTTTTTATTTGCAGTCAATAAAATGGAAGAACTGAGGTATCAAGTTCAAACGTTCCTGGTTCAACATAAAATCGTCATGGCACTGTATTTAAATGTTTATTTTTTTAAACTAAAACTAGCTTAATGTAGGAAAAATTTCAAGAAGATTGGTTCAATGGTTAATGCGTAAAGAGACAAACAACATTATATATTATACACCGAAACTTTTCTTAGAAATTACACTGTATCTAATTATAAAGTTGTATAAAAACAATAGACCGACATGACAGAAGACCCTATTTTTATAATTCGTGATGTAAAGATAGAGTTAGTGTTATGATGCAGCTAAAATCTGTTAAAACATACATACCTACCTAAATAATCAGGCATATTATGAATCTACTACTTACTTATTACTAGTTTTGTACATTTATCATGATATTTTTAACTTATGAAGACTCTTGTCTATATAATTAAACTGTATAATTTAATAAAACATTAGTTGTACTCAAAAACAAAGGTTTATCAATATTATGAACATAAATTGTATTTAATATAAGTATAGGTATATAATCAAATAAAACTTATTTATTTTTAATGCAATGTTTTATTTTCCCAAAAATTTTGGTACTTAGCTAGCCGAATCAGTGCCTTTAGCCAAACGCCACTTTAGCGCTTGTCTACAGAGAGAGTAGGTCGCGGAGAACGTATCGGGTAACCGGGGCTCCGGCTCGACGTGCAGGAGAAGGAACGGGGTGGTTTTTAGTCAGTAAGAGTCTGACACTCCCTCCCACCTCACCCAGGCGGGAGCAGTCATTCGATGATATTCCCCCCTTAAAAAAAAAAACAGAGAGTAGAAAATTAAATGTATGGGGATGACACTGACAAGTGTCAAAATTTACGTCAATCCATACAATTTGGTTTTCTATTCTACATGTAGACAAGCGCTAAATGGCATTTGTAGCCAAATGCTATTTATTGTAGCTGCTGATTACAGAAATTAACGAATATGGATAAAACTAAGAATACACTCGGGGAGAAATGTTTCGGCGACATGTCGAGCGAAGCTGGCCGATGTCGCCTGACATATACGGTGACAACGCGCAACTTATGTCCACAGTGACGTTGATGTTGTCAGGCATATCAACCAAAGTGGCAACGTCGCGCTACTTCACCCAACGTCACTGGTGACGCATGTCTCAGGATATATGTTCCACAACAATATTAGGAGACAAATATCCTTGGCTTAAAGCGAAAGAGGTGTGTCGACTGTGACGTAACTATACTCCGATGATCCTCCGCCACGGGGCTCCCGTGGCAAATTCATCAAAGTGGAGGCCAAGAGTGGTGTAACTTCAGGCTGGTAAGTCAACAAAATGCAACGGGCCCCCACGGGCATACAGCTAGTAGGCGCCTCATTTAAAGAGTTTCAACTCAACTTCTCTATTTTTTATTTATTGGGAGCGGGGAGCATTTCGATGAATTTGCATGGGCCTCGGAGGGTCAGTATACTATAGTTACGTCACTGTCCCCATGGCGGCGCCAGTTCCTCTAAATAGACCACCTCAGGAGTCCTTAACAGTAAAACGCTTGTTCTAACGTATCAATAATAGTTATATAAAAACTGCGTTTAAAAAAAACTACTTCAACAAGAAAAGTAAAAACTAAAAAGCAAAAAGTAATTATTATTGGTCATACGTACCATACGTACTTATACACCCACTAGTCGGTGCCACAAATATTACAAACAATTATTCATTAAAACCTTGGTAGGTACCTACCATTTTAAGCTGTTTACAATTTTATTATGGATGGGTTCGACATCGACATAACAATAACCCCTGCTATTTTTTTTATTTTTATTTTCAATGTATACAGACAAGTTATGTTTCTGCCAGCGACAGAGGGTGCAAATGGAAACTATGATCATTTTACTAAATTTATTATAATTAAAATTACATGATAATTCCTAAAGTCTAACTAACCTACGAGCGAATGCATTCGATATTAGAACGACACTGATTTCTTCTCTTAAAATTATTTGGAAAGAAGGTTTTCAATAAATCCTATTGAGGTTAAATTTAGTGGAGTGATTGATGATGCAGCGATTCGCAGCTGGGCACGAGGCGGTGACATGAGGAGACGACTCAGCAGTTTAGGTGTTGCAATACTTCGTTGCATCAAAGTAGGTCTAACGTCCTGATTCAGCAGATATGTTCCTCGTGGCACGGCGTTGATCACGGTGTAGGTACATGTGTCGGCACCGATACGTAACAGACAGCACTTTTCTACAATTTTATTATATGTATAGATTATACTTCTAACCTTCTAACGAACATAAAAAAAATTAATAATACAGTCGAATTGAGAACCTCCTCCTTTTTTTTGAAGTCGATTGAAAATACCTAGTTAGATACCTACCAATAAAATACAGATACTACTACTACCTACTTATAATACCTACAAATAGTTATTATAACAATATAAGTAAATACCAATTCTTTTCCTTATTTACCTTAGTAATTTATTACTCATAGGTGCTCTAGTTTACGACCTACAAAAAGTGAACCTTAATACGCAGTTATTAAAGTCCACAATCCAATTTGTAGTCACATAAAAGAGTCTATTGTTTTATACTTCTAATAATAAAATTAAATACTGAATCACCTTCACAAATCTATGTACCAATTAGCATTAATTAGTTCTATTAAGTTAAACTCATTCTTATAGCCAAAGTTATAAAGCTGATTTTGTCTCGTCAAGTCAATGAGTCATGCTTTACTGATTGCATCGAGAAACAAGCAAAATTCAACCTTGATTCTACAGTAATAAACTTGACTTCACTTTGTCACACCTCTGAGTCATCTTACAAAACCTGGTGAGTAAAATCGGACCTTAAAGCTAAAGTCAATAAAGTTGAATTTCATTTGTAATGTAGTGAGTGATCTTGGTTTGGTGCATTCCTTAACGGGACGTATTTTCATATGACGAGTTTTGTTCGAGACAAGGAAAAACTGATACAGTGAAATCTGGTTAAGTGAGACATCAAGGGACTTGCAATGTCGTTTCACTTATAGAGGTATTCCACTTACCCAGTGTCTCAGATATACAGGTATAAATAAATGTCTGTCTAATTTACAGAGGGTTCCATTAATAGAGGTGGACTTGGAATTACGTGTGGAATTTGTGGGTAGAATAAGAATGAGTAAACAATTTTATCTCAGTTACAGAGGTTTATGTATATACAATTTACTCGCTGTCTCAGTTATAGAGGTAACTATGATGATAAATCGAAAGAACAAATCCCAGATATAGAGGTTTACCTCGTCCCAACAGAGGTAAAGTGTTGGGACCTCAGCATGAGTTCCAGTTATGTAGGTTTCTCACTTATCCAGGTCCCACTTAACCAAGTTTCACTGAATTTTTGTTTACGTTATAACAACAGACTGACGACATACTCTTTGTGTTAAATCTGTCTAAGATATTCTAATTGGTATTCAATGCTAATATTTGTTCGTTTGTGACGTTGTTTCGCCTAAACTGCTGCATCGATTTTAATGATGTATTCTGACTGATTGGGCTTTTGTTACTACGTCAACAATCAACATACATATATGTATACAACATGTAACTTAAATAACGCACATCCTGAAAATGGTTTGTTCAGAATCGTTAACTGAATCGATTTATATAATTTTTAGTATAGGTAATTTTTTATCCCAAAAATAATTAAAACTACGTAAATTATTGTCATATTAACCCTGTATTGTTAAAACAAATCGAAATGGACCGCAAGTCAAAGCAATAAGACTTTTAAAATCGCAGTTTTATTTGTATTCGTACAAATTCTATCATTCAATACAATATAAAGAAAAGTAAACCTTATGACAAGACCAGTAAGGATGCATATACATGTTAAATTAAAAATTTAGTTTATGTATAATGATTATTACATAAAATTCTAATTGGGGTGTTTGAGGGTGTGCGTTAATTACGTTACATATTGTATACCTACATTTCGATGTTGATGTCCTATGTTGTAATATTTGTTGTAGATAGTAAAGGAATTAAACCATTATCTGGAAGGTCTGTATGGTTGGTGCGGTGGTTGGGCAACCGGCTGCCGCTCGACGTGTAGCGGGTTCGATTACCGCACGGACCAACTCTGTGTATGATCCACAAATTGTTGTTCCGGGTCTGGGTGTCATGTGTATGTGAAATGTTTTTAAACGCACTCACGATACTGGAGAAAATCCTAGTGCGGGGCAATGTTTATTAAAAAAAACAAAAATTAAAAAGTAAGTAATGTACAGATCAACCTAGTCCAGTCCTTATTTTTTTATTGGATTTTCGACTTCATATAAAAATAAACAAGGTTCAAAGTTTAAAAGAAGTGGGTAGACCTGTTTACACCTTTTTTTTAAGGGGGGAAAATCATCGAATGACTTCTCGCGCCCGGGTGAGGCGGGAGTGTACAGTGTACGGGTGTGTACAGAACAGGCGTATTCTGTCCAAAAATCAATAGGTAGGAGGTACTTTTTGTAGGATTGGAAAATCATAACCGACGAACATGCATGAAAAGATTGATGACTGTTAATGAAGCGAAAGAGGTATGTAAGAATCGTAGTAATTAGCGATCCTTAGTCTCTGCCTACCGCCATGGGAGACAGGCGTGAAGTTATGTATGTATGTATGTAAGTCAACAGTCTGGGTGATGCATGAAGGAGTGTCAGACTCTTACTGACTAAAATCCACCTCGTTTCAACTGCTCCTTCCATAATAGGTACCTAGTTACACCGACATGAGCCATGTCCCTGACCCAGACAGGAGAAAATCAATATTACAATATTAGGTAGCACCTTAATAAATGACTGCTCAGTTGAGGCAGTGCCAGTGGTAACTGGCTGTTGTGTCGTGAATTCGATTCCCACACGAAACAAGTCTTTATTATACCTAATCCACAAATCATTGTTCCTTGTCTGCGTATATGTTGAAAGTTTGTGAACCTTGTAGGTTACCTTGATGTGCTGCCATCTGTATTTACATAAAAGTCCAGGTGTAACCCATATCGTTAGTGATAAGCAATCGCCCCAACTATTACTATCAGATAACGATAATAATGTATCGTAACAAACGATAAAGTGGTACTTACCTAAGTACTTATTTGCCTAATCAATAACGATATAAGATTACTTAGTTCAAATAAATAGGCTGTCGTCGAAAGTGACGCCAATGAAAAGTTCTGTCGGTGAAATGTCCATGGGGGAAAGATCCTGTTGAGGAAACGGAAATAAATGAATTATCCTGTCGACGAACAGTCCAGTGGCGAATCGATCTTAGGAGAACGGTTACTGAACTATAACCGGCTCTTTGTAGGCACTTTTTTATGTTGACGAAGGGAAACCGAAAGACGCCTAGCTTTTTGGGGAGATAGAGGGTGTGGGATTCTTACCTCGCCAAAACCTCCCCGGTGGCCACCCTCCGCAGTTAAGACACCGGGTCCTCTCAACAGATCAACTTC